AAAAAAAAAAAAAAAAAAAAAAAAAAAAAGGTGCTTAATAATGAGAGAAAGAATTAGGGAGGGGGAAGCCCTGTAAATACGTCTGATGAAATTGTTGCATCAGTAGAGAAAAAGTTAAATGCTGGTAGAAAATGGTTTAGAGTTTCCACTTTCAAGTGAGACAGACTTAGGACTAAGCAATGGTTTAGCAATTCCTTGAATGTCCGACTTCAGGCAAGTTACTTAGTAGTAATTTCCTCATCTGTAAAATGAAGATAGTACAAAAACTGATCCCTTGGGCTTTAAGGATTTAATGAATTAATTCATGTGAAGTTTTTAGTACAGAGCCTGTTCACAGTAAACATTCGATTAAAGAGCTGTCATTATTAAACTATTGTCATATTTTTGCACTTTGTATTGATGTCATTTTGCATTACATTAATCTCATTTTTTAAAAAACCTTGCAGATTTTATGAAAAGCTTCTAAGGTTAAAACTATGTCTGAATGAGCAAACATATATACTTTTTCTCTTTTATTCATAGATGATATTATAAAACATTATAAAACCCTAGTAGACACTAGTGTTTGAATTACAGATTTGCCACTTAGTAGCTCTAGGTCTCTGAACAAATTCATAACATTCTGTGCCTCAGTTTCCTTGTCTATAAAACAAATAATACTGTACCTTGTTTAGTCAGTAGTTTTGAGGACTGATTAGTTAAAACCTGTAAAGGCATTAGGGCAATTCATGGCAAATAGCAAGATTTCAAACATGTTAATAATTTTTTGTAAAAATTTCATATTGATATTAGTCTAGAGTTGCTTTTAGATTTTGTCCTTAACTTTTCTTCAACTGTAAAAATAGTACTTTAGCAGACGTGAATTATAGTTAGTTGTCTAGTATTATAGCATGTCTCACATATTTTAACTTAAAAGCACTGCAGTTAATTAAAAAGATTTTATAAGGGATTTCTTGGAATTTAAGTAGTATTCTAATAATTAAGGTCATCTTTGTCTTTGTCTTTGAGATTCTTTAAATATTAACCTTCATGTTGAACGGTCTATCTTCAACTACCTTTGGCTTCTTCTCCAGAACATTCTCAGGTTCAGTAGTTCTGAAGTCTAAATGTAAGAAACCCAACGTTAAAAAGATTGCCTAAAAGTTTTCAAAGAGAGAAAGCTGTTTTGTTTTGGAGAAGTTATCTGATGAGAAAATATATGCACTTCATTCACAAAGCAATGAAGCTGTGCTACAAATTTCATAATCAAAAGAAAGGCATTACTTTTAAATTGTATAATGGCATTTTAATTGAATAAAAATTTACATAATTTTAATAATAGAAAAATATAAAATTTATTTTATATAATTATAAAATAGAAATTTTATAATTATATAATTATAAAATTATGTTTTATATATTGTAATTTTATATAATCTTGTATACATTTTACAGTTATGAAAAAATTTATAACATTTTATAACTTTATTCAACTGGGTGATTTAAATTTATATCCTTGATTTTATAGTGACACATTATTTTAATAAACTTGGCTTTCCAGTGCCCTGGGGTGTCACTTGTGCCTAGAAAACTTAATTGGTATTATTTGAAATAGACATCTTTGTTTGTTATTTGCACATGGAAATTTATTACGCAAATTTCTTACAGGAATTGTTGAGGAGTACCAATTGCCTTATTATGACATGGTGCCTTCAGATCCCTCGATAGAGGAAATGAGAAAGGTTGTTTGTGACCAGAAGTTTCGACCAAGTATCCCAAACCAGTGGCAAAGTTGTGAAGTAAGGCTATGTTTTTATCTATATTTTTCTTATTATATTTTTGAGGTGAGTATCAGGGAGAATTTTCAGAGACCGTGTAGTTTTTCCTTTTTAATGTAAGCATCCAATTCATTCCATATATGTAGACATATGTCTTTTTATAAGTCTTCAGAAGAGTTTTTTTTCCCCTTTAGTGCTATGCGTGCATAATGCTAGGTTATGTGACAGTAACAAATCTTGAAATCTCAGTGACTTTTCACTTTATTTCTTGCTTACAGAAACTGCTCTGCAGGTTAGACAACTCTCCATGGCACCTGTTCTCACTGCAGTGACTCAGTAATCACTCTGATTTTGATCCTTGGACACGTAGTTTCCAGATCTCTAGGTCAGGTGAAGAGAGGAGCTAGAGGATCACACACTGGCTCTTTAATGCTTTGGCATCAGGTGACACACATCTCTTCCACTCATGGCTCCTACCAGAATTTGTCACATGGTCCCCCCAAACTGCAGTGGTGCTAGGAACTGCAGGGAACACAGGTAGACTCAGTGGGTAGTTAATGTCTCTGCCACACAGAATATTACAATCCAATCATCTTTATATTCAATAAGTTATACCTCATCTCTAACCTGCTGAAGTTTGAACTTATTCCCTCATTAGAAAAGCTCCCTCACATCAGAGACCATTGTTATTTATCTCATCATCTCCAGCAAACCAGTACTTAACTGTAATGTACTAGACAAACAGTAAATGGTTATTGTAATACTTGTTGTGCCTTATGTGAAGATAGAGATTTTTTTCTAGCTCTTACAAGGAAAAAGAGGAGAAGGTGGGAAAAAGAGTCTAAACCATCTAACTAGTTTCAGAACCATTCTGATACTTTAATGTCTCTCATTTCAGTTATTGCTGTCTATTTTTTGCCATATTTTAATGTAATGAATGAGGTCTTTTTTAGGTGATGTCTTTGAGTCTGGTTTTGTTTTAGGGAACATTTTCTATAGTTGCCTTTTTGTCTCATTTTTCTGTTCCTTCATGTTTCTCAACCCTTTTCTAATTTAATCATGTTTCTCAACCCTTTTTCTAATTTCTAATTTAAAACACAAGATTTGTGTTTTGTTATTTTTATATTTTGTGTAGATATCTTACCTACATACTTGAGAAGCAAATTTTGAAGCATTTATAATTCAATTGAAATTAAATTTAAAATTTTCTAATAATTTATGTACATGAAACAATATAAACAATATGTTTAAAGTATAATGGAATGAAAACTAGTGAATCCACTACCAGGTTTGAAAAATAGAACATTTTCAATACCTTTGAAGATTCCTTACCCCTCTGAGAGGTTAGTATTATAATCAATTATTTCTTTACTATTTTCTTGCTTTGCTTTAGAATTTTACTATATGTATATTTTTTCAGAATATATACATCCATCCAGAATAACAATATGTTGTTTACTTTTGCATATTTGTGAAACTTATGTGATTGAAACTTACTGTAGATATTATTTTCAAAATGTTTTCACTCTCCATTATATATGTGTAGCTATGATCTGTCCATTTTCATTGCTGTGTAGTATTCCATATAATGGAAGCATATGCTATATCTGTGAGGTGATGATATAGCATTCTGCTTTAGTTTTTTAATGCAATGACTTACATTTATAGATTTTCCAGTGTTAAACCAAATATACATTCTTGGAATAGACCCAACATAGTCATTTTAGTGTGATCAATTTTGTACATTCCTGATATATGCAATTTTTGTCCAGTACTTTGTTTCTGTCTTGTTTTATGTCAATCTCATATAATAGATATTGGCCTCTTTTTATGCCATCATTATTTAGACTTATTCACATGTTTACCATTTTCTTTGCTTAGCATTTCTTCTTACCTCTCAAATCATTTTCTGACTTCTTGACATGAATCCTTTAAAAGTATTTTATTTTGTTTTTTTAGAGAAAGCCTAGTGGTTGTAAGATTTTTCAGTTTGGGCGTATCCAAAATGTCTTTATTTTGTCCTCAGTCTTGAACAAATAGTTTGTCTAACCATAGAAATTTAGGTTGACAGTTATTTTCTCTAAACACCTTAAAGTTATTATCCCACTATTACCTACTTTCCAGTTTGCTATTGAGAAGTCAGCAATAATCAATCAATAAATTTTTAGTTAATTTAGCTTTTCTTTATGACTACTTTAAAGAACTTCTCTGTCTTCAGCATTCTGCAGTTTCTCTATGATGTCTTCAGTATAGATATCTCTTGGTTAATCTTGCTTGGAATATTAGGACTATCTTATTCTAGTGGTTTGTGACTTTCCTCAGTTCTGGAAAATTCGGAGTCATATTTCTTCAAATAGTTTTTTCTCTGATTGTTTCTATTACTCAGTTTTGGAGAACTCATTAGATGCATGTTAGACCCTTCATTATAATTTGCTTTTTAAATTAACTCATATTTTCTGTATTTGTGTCATTATGGTATGTATCTCTCAAGATTTATTTTTCAGTTCTTTCATTCTGCCTTCAGATATGTCTAATTTGCTATTTAACTCATCCATTGAGTTTTCTACTTTATTTATTTATTTTTTTGAGACAGAATCTTGCTCTGTCGCCCAGGCTGGAGTACAGTGGCATGATCTCAGCTTACTGCTACCTCCGCCTCCCAAGTTCAAATGATTCTCCTCCCTCAGCCTCTGGAGTAGCTGGCATTACAGGCACGTGCCACCACATTGGCCAGACTGGTCTTGAACTCATGACTTCAGGTGATCCACCCGCCTCAGCCTCTCAAAGTGTTGGGATTACAGGCGTGAGCCACCACACCTGGCCAATTGTTATATTTTTGATATCAAGATGTTTAATTGGTACTTTTTCACATTTTAAAATATTGTCATTTTTTACTCATATTTTGTATTTCCCTTTCCTTTTAAAAACATATTTTATATACTTATATCATTTAGTTCTAGCATCTAATGTTTTTATGGGCCAAAACTACTATTTACAACGGACTCTTGCTTATGGTACCTTTTTTCCTCATGTATTTGTGAATTTTCATTATGAACTGAGGTTTACTGCAATGTTTAAAGGCATGGGCTTGATTGTTTTTTTCTTCACCAAGAGCCAAGACTTAGGCAACTTCCCTTAGAGGGTTTCAGGGAAGTAGTCATTCTTAAATTGAGGGCTTTCTAAGCATCTCTTTTTTTTTGAGACAGAGTCTTGCACTGTCACCCAGGCTAGAGTGCAGTGGTGTGATCATGGCGCACTGCAGCCTTGAATTTCCGGGCCCAAGCAATCCTCTCACCTCAGCCTCCTGCATAGCTGGGACCACCACACCTGGCTAAGTTTTTAAATTTTTTTGTAGAGAGAGGGTCTCTCTGTGTTACCCAGGTTGGTCTTGAACTCCTGGGCTTAAGCAATTCTCTCACCTCAGCCTACCAAAGTGCTGGAATTACAGGCATGAGACACTGCCTGGCCGGCATCTTGATCTGAAACTTTCTGTGTGCTGTGGGCTGTACTCTCTATTACATGCGATCCACCAGTTCTGAAGTTCTAGACCATGAGAGGAGCAGATACCCCTACAGCAGCCACTTGCTTCAGCAGTTTCCTTTATTTCTCTGGTTTCATGCATTTTCATTGTTTTCCCCTCTTAGTATTTATCTTATCTCTTTGCGAGTTCATTTTTAAAGTCCAGAATTTCTGATATTTATACTTGGATCATAATTTTTATTGTAGTATAATTTACATTTGGTAAAACTCACAAATCTTATACAGATTGATGAATTTTTTTCATATGTCTACATTTGTGTACTCATCACCAACATCAAGATACAGGGAATTTCCAAGCCTTCCCATATCCCTTGATGCTTTTCATGTCCCATATTCCCAGAAATCAGTGGATTGAAACATTTTTTAGTTAGTCTCTACAAGGTTAATATTTGAGTTTTGATATAATTTTTGAAGGAGTTTGACCCTAATCATCTTCTCATATTGTTTTACATTTACTATTTCTTCATCAAAGCTTAGTTAGCATCAATGGAAGATACAGTGGTGCATGCCTGTGTCCCAGCTACTTGGAAGATTAAGCAGGAGTATCGCTTGAGCACAAGAGTTTGAGGCTGTAGCGTGCTATGCTTGCACCTATGAATAGCCATTGCACTCCAGCCTGGGGAACATAGCAAGACCCCATCTCTTAAAAAAAAATAAAGAAACTTGGCATCAATTCCTGGGTTTATGGCTTTACTTCTTTTGTGCTCTGTTTTACGTGAGTAGCTAAAGTCTTTGATATTTTTTTCTCTCTTAAAGGCACTCCGAGTCATGGGGAGAATAATGCGTGAGTGTTGGTATGCCAACGGAGCGGCCCGCCTAACTGCTCTTCGTATTAAGAAGACTATATCTCAACTTTGTGTCAAAGAAGACTGCAAAGCCTAATGATGATAATTATGTTAAAAAGAAATCTCTCACAGCTTTCTTTTCCATTTTCCCCTTTATGTGAAAGTTTTTGCCATTTTTTTTGTTCTACCTCAAAGATAAGACAGTACAGTATTTAAGTGCCCATAAGGCCGCGTGAAAAGATAACTCTAAAGTTAAGCATGGGCAGGAGTTGACTTCATCCAATCTCTCTGTTATGTTTAATTTTATTTTGAAAGCAACACCGCCACTCATCTTTTTATTTAATAAGAAAGAAATATATTACAAAAGTATAAAATAAGCTCTATAAAAATGATATAGTCATTAAGTTTTTATTTTACTTGAACCAAGAGCACATGAGTGAACAGGAAAAGATGTTAAAACTTTTTTTTTTTTTTTTCTGAGACGAAAACATATTAATTAAACATGCGAACTAGACCATGCTATCTTAAATAGAAATTTAGGTCATGCAATCTATGTTTCCCCATTTTTAAGTAAGCAGGACTTTTTAAAAATAAATATTGCTCTAAATTTTAATATATCAAACATGTGAAAGTGGAGCTGCTCAGTGGAAGATGTGAGATTGGTGTCCCACGTGCTTGGTCTCCCCTTCTGCTGTTCTCCTTCATAATCCACTACTGCAGCAGTCGCTGAACCACTAAACTTATTCCTTTCCTTTGCAAAAGACATACCTGATATCCTGAGACGCTGAGAAATGTCCCAAAGTCACACAGCTAATGGCAGAACTGGCACTAGGTCCACATCTTGTGATAATGAGCACTGTAGAGTCAACTAGCTTCCTACTTTTCCTTGAATAGTGCTTTTCTCTGTATGCAATATCTTTTATTATGATATTTGTGGTTTAGTCATGCAGAAGGCATATTATTTTGCAGAATCATGATGGACCTGCATGAAATCTCAGAACCATATCTGTTGACATTTTTTTCTCATAGAAATATCATGGTTATCCCATTCGTTAATGAGTATTAATGTTTTCTGAACACTTCCAAAGATTAATCAAACATAAATATTCATTGTCTGAAAATATCTTTAAGATACAATTCAGAGGTCCCTATTTCCTTTGTACATATACACTTAGAAAGAAAAGACAGAAGAGGAAGAGGAAAGAAGGAAATATTTTGAGAATATATTGAGAAGAATTAAGAACACTCTTCAATGAAGTGTAACAACCAAACCCTACAGAGGGTATGAGAAACAGCAAATACATATTCCTCTACCCTTTCACAATGAGCGCGTGAGTACAGAAGAATGCTCATGATAGTTCCGCCTTCATTCTACTTTCTGTGGACACAGAGTAATGAATATTTAATGGGACGTTAAATATGCCCTTCAAATCTATAATGCTATTTTGATAAAGGAAATTTAACATGATGTCTTTTATTCTCCTAAAACATCTTTTGTCAAACTCCATTCCATAGAACTTTCTTCTGCTGAGATGATCCAAGACCAAAGTGTTCTTTGATATTGCTTAGAAAGTGATAGTACATGTTAGCATATAATGTATTTTGAAGAGTGAAATAAATGCTATTGATAACAGTAAAAACAAAAAACAAACAAACAAAAAAACCAAAACTAATAACAGTAAAGAAATGCTACTTGAATTTTTTTTTAAACTGGATTGCTCAGATTACCTGATCGTGGTGGAACCCTTTTATTAAGAGGAGGAGAAACTTTTTACTATCCCATATTTGACTGTTCTATAAAGCAAAGCACAGCTTGGGTAATAGTGTTCTGAAGGATATACTTCTGTATTTTCTCATAGAATACAATTTAGTGATTATGCTTCATTTCACTATGAAAATATGTTACTGAATATATCTTCATTTTACTGAGCTGAAATAAGGAAGGCAAAACACTGACAGCTATGGAATTTGCGTGTCCTTCCATACTTGTTAATGCTCTCATCCACTTATTAAATAATCATAGAGTACCCATATCTTGCTTGCCACAATATCGGGTACAAGAGGGAATACAAAGATAGATAGGTCCTGCCCTCAGGGATTTTAAAGTCTAATTTGGGAATGTGAATAGGGATGTGAGTGTGTGGGGGAAGAAAATAAATTGACAGATAAAATATGAAGTGGGATGTCTTGAGTTCTGCATGACAGTGGGTTTCTAGGATAGGTCTGAAAATCGCTTTCATTTGCAACGCATTTAGAAAGTAGCTTTATTTGGATATTACAGACAATCTAAATATATCATCAGTTTTTAAAAGTGCCTATGTGAAGTGATTTTTTAAAAAGAGCCTATGTGAAGGGGTAATCTTGCTTATGCTTGTTACTAATTTCTCATAGATTGTTGTTCTGCATATATAAGAATGAAATTATTTATTTACTATGGTTGTACGTGCCTCAAATAAACAAGAATGATATTTCCTGTTTTATTTACTTATGTTGGGTAAATATGCTTATTGAATTTTTAAGAGAGGATTTTTTAACATCTCCATTCTTCTTGTCATTATGTTTTGTAGCTTATTTGAGGGTGTCTAAATATAATTTCATATTTTATTGGTTCAACTTTCACTCTGAAGAAATCCGTATGTTAGTACATTTTGAGGTATTTTTCTTGTTCTTGTGTTGGTTAACTATGACTCCTAGCTGAATAGTCTTATATTTCAATTACAAAACACATTTTTAAAGAAAGGGAATAGAGCAGCAAAAATGATGAGGAAAAGGTTAAAAGTTATAATATTTCCTTTACTCTTAACAGGATTATATATAGAATATGCTCACTTACAAAAATAGGATGATGAAGTTTAGAGCATAAGGCAGGCTTCTTGTATATACTTATGCTGTCAAATGTTATATTGTTTTTAATGGAGTCCCTTTGTGTAATATTTATTTCTTTTAAATTTTGTTATAAGCAAAAAAAAAAAAAAAATTCTTCTTAGGTTAGGTTCAGAGTATCAGTGTTCTTTACTCCTTACAGATATTTTGGCTTTGGGGTATAATACAAGACTTGGGAAAACGCTATTATGAATTTTTAGTACTGTATAAAGTGGTGATGGGATTTAAATGCAGCATCACTTTCTGAAAATAAGAGAAACATTATTTGTTGTCAGTATTTCAGCATGAACTTGTTGCCTTGTAAATTTTGCCTTTAAGTTTGTAATTGGTACAGATTCTGTTGTATGCTTTCTTCTATGTCTAAAATATTTGGCATGTCACATCTAGAATTCTTAATTTATGTTCTGACTTGAGAGTTAAGTGAAACATGACTGTCGTGCACTATTTTAGGCATAGCACTTGCTTTTCATCTTTATACTTTCAATTAACTTTGCATTTTAAATTTCCATGATTGTATGAAAATAGTAACCTGGTTGCAGTATCTGAAAAAATTAAAATTAGCTTTTATTTAAAAATGAAAATCTACAATAGATTCATTAGGTTAGAAGTTCCACAGTAATTTATTATTTTATTACAGCTACTATTGTAGAATTATTAATAAAATAAAACAAAACTACTTCTATTTTCCTGGAATTTTGCCACCATGTGACTCATTGGGGCAGAGAAAACTCAGGGTTATCTTTGAGTCTGCGCAAAAGTACCAGGGAACCTGCTTAGCAAATCATCTGAAAACAGGGAGTTGATGTTTGCCATTATACAAAGTTTGAGTAAACAACTTAAAATTGCTTGTTAGGGCATAGTCTTTGATTGAAATAAGTATAAGAGTGTATTTGGCTAAATAAATGTATTTAAAATATAGAAATTTTATTTCCCACTGGAAAATTAAGAAAATAACAGTACCAAATGAATAAAAGCTGGCAGTTGATGTCTTCAATAATCATTCCTTTAAATAAATTCACAAACACATCATTACAAGCTACTTAGGAATGTTTAGTATTAGTATCTTAAAATGGCACCATTGTGGTTTTCGAAGATATTTTAAGCATCTTTTGTGAAACATACCATTTCTGTTTGACAATGCTTAGTTCTAGCTCTGCGTGCTAATACCTACATGGAGTTTTTCTGCTATTTTAGTGAAAACAGTAATTGTTTTATCTTGAGAGCTGCTTCTAAATAACAAGTCAATTGGAATATAAGTTTTTAAAAAACGTTAATATTAAGTAGAATTTTTATAATATGGGCATTTTTCAAAACATTTTAATGAAAATATATAGATATTTGACTTTCTTTTTTCCATCTAGCCTTGCTTTATATTCATTATCTTTCTCACTTTTTTTCTTAATATTCCCTCACTATCTTTCAACATTATCATTAGTTTCTAATTAAAAAAATAACTATTATTTAACTTAACCATCTGGAATTTAGCTTTCTAATGAAAGAGAATCCCTTAGTACTCTCAGAGATTATATAACTTGATTCCAGTTTTGTTTCGATGACGAGACCAAAGATCAGAGATTAAATGACTACTAGTTATTAGCAGAACTCTCATGAAAGCCAGGTGGTGACACCCAGCACTGTTCCTTGCCATATCCCCAACTTTTACTGATTAAAAATTAATTTGCATGCATCTAAACCTACCTTGAATGCACACTAATGTAATGTGCCATTCAATGATGATGATAAAATCCCACTTCTTATGTTTCTACTAAAATAATTTACTCAGGGTGGGGTCAGTGAGAAAAACTAAACTAGGCAAAGAGAGAGTTGTAGAATGGTTGTCAAGCTAAGTAGGCAACCACTGGGGTGCTGATAAAATTAATGGATAAAATTTAGGGACAGTGAGAGTATAGAATTTCTTAGTGCCAGTAATAATTAGAGAAGCTTCCTGACATCCCCCACCCTTTCTGTAAGGATTGTTCTTTCTCTTTGTACTTTGGAATGGGGGTGAAAGGTGATTTAATAGCTGAATTTGGGACTATGTCCAGTGGTATATTATCTGACTTTTCTCTCTTTCTCTTTTTTTTCCCCCGTCAGTTTCTCATTAGTTTGTCTTTGGCATTCATCTTCTTTTAGTGCATTAAAAAATGTTTGGCAGATCTCATCAATCCCAAGTCACTCTATAATTCCTATAATTCTTTAGTTATCTTTTAATCTGTCCAAACTGCTACACAATGAACTTCTTAACAAGATTTTAAGTTCCCCACTGATGTATAAGAGGTTTCACCTCGTAACTTCTCCAGTAATCCTTCATTTGGCACTATAGAGTATTTGTTAATGGCAGAGATGATTTTTTTTTTTTCAAAACCTAAAAAGACTAGCTGTTAATTGTATTCTAGCTTTTAGCTAACATACAAAGAATGTCTACTTTTGCTTTAATGCTAAATCCCACTTGAGAAATAGTGACTGGGAAAGACAATTTGAAATATATGCCCCATAATGTGGTTGCTAAATTTATTTCTGCTGTTCCATACCATTGCTTTGTTTTGCTTTTGACATCTCTTAAAACTAAGCCATTATGCTATTAGTTTGGAATATAATACTACAGCAAAATTAGGTAACAATCTCTATTTTAAAATTCCCCTAACAATAATAGAACTGCCAGCATACTTTTCTCTTTCAGTTGTAGATGAATACATTTGAGAGAAGAGCTCTATTTCATCCTAGATTTCAATATTTTCAGATGTGACTGTATTTCCTGATCATTGGTCCAGGTTATCCTAAAAGAAATTTTTCTCTCCAGACCTAACAGTTTTAACTGCAAGAGTTTACTGTGGGTTACATTAATCTGAATTTTAATAGGGCCACTGAGAATCTGAGTGCTTTATGGGATTACCCTTATACCCACTGCCATCACATCCAGTCGGGCCTGTTGTGCTCTCTACAAATCTTCCCAGCTGAGTGGCAGATAGGGGCTAAAATCCAACTGCAATTGGCTCCCAGACATAATTTTATATTTTACAGAAAAGGATCTTATTGGCTTATATATGTTTAAAGAATGGTCTGGCTTATACATCTTCAGAAAATGAGAATTAAAAAGCCAAAATAATTCTTGACGTCAGCAAATTGAACATAGAACTTAGAAGAAATAATACTTTATCTTTTCATTCTGGCATTCCTGAGAGAAAAGAAATTGTATGTTTATTGTGTTGGTTTAATTTTTCAACCCAGACAATCTGCAGCAAGGCACATGGACCCTAATTTTGACATCTTACACACAGTTTTCATTCTATGCATGGAGCTAATTACTGACTTTGCCTGTAAAGAGAGGATTGTGTGCCTAAATTTTGTCTAGGAAATGCAAGCATAGAATGAAATTTACTAATATTTCTATTTCTTCCATAGGCTAAATAATAGCAACTATTTTTGAAGACCCAGCCCTTTTTTTCCTCTTTATACAAAATAAGAGTATCTGAGCCAAAATATTAAATTCTAGTTCATTTCTGCAATGACTAGTGTCATGCTCATGTACTCTTCTAATTCTAGACTGGAGAAGATTATTCAAACTTGATCTGTGTTTCAGGTTTTTAAATGTCCTAAAAACAGAAAATTAGATTCAGATCTCAAAAAAGGAATTTTGGATTGACTTTCAAAGTACTAATACTAATTATACTTTTCTTTTGGTAGCGTGACTCTTCTTATACCTAAGAACATATTACAAATGTCAAAACCATTGCAGTTTGACATTGCAAAACATGCCTTGAACTCTTGAACTACTGTGAAAAGAATCACCGTTGTAAAGACTTTTTGTAAGCTAGCTGATACTCTTAAGTATGTAAAAAGATTGTCTTTCAGCCGACAGGCCCAAAGGAATGTATATAAGGAAGGAATATGAAAAAATAAATTAGGTTTTAAAATAAGAATTGGGCAATAAACTGTATCAAAAATATGTAGATGGATTTTAGTAGTTGTAATTTAAATGTTGAAGGTGAAGAGAATTTCAAATTCCAAAGAGAAGTGAATGATATTCAGATGTTTCATTAATTTCTAGTCTGTGAAAATATGCATTTTATAGTAAATGTATAGACTTATTTTATTTAGAAATAATAGTGTTTTAGAATTTATTAAAAACTCAGTGATAGCCTTTATACCAAAATGTTTAACTTTACCAACAGCAAGTCATAAAAGTATTTATTTTAAAGCTTTTTAATATTATCGCGTAACTTTCATCTGTCTTCAGATGTAAATAATTATCTGCCTAAATGTTATATTTTTATGTATGCATTTTCTGAAAATGTATTGTTTTGTAAAGTGGGAAAGATAATAAATCAAGCACTTGCACTTGTTTCTGTGAAGCATATAGAACTCTATTTTAAATAAAGGAAGATGTGTCGTAGTTTGGTTTCTATATAATTATGTCCGATTATTTTTAAATTGTGTTTTATTTGTATGCAGTGTATGCAGAGGGTGTTGGAGACTTAAAAGCTGGCTCCAATGGGCACTGGAATTTTACTTCCTTCGTTCCTTTCAACCAAGGAGTTATAGAATTCCAGAATTTCAGAACTGGAAGGGATACTTCTTCAATAGCCATTTCTCTACATGGCACTTAGGACAATAGATTTTGTTTCTTTTTTTTCTACCAAGCAACTGTTTTTTTGCACTTTTTAAACATTTACTAAATGACTACTGAGTTGACCTGCTCTCAAACCTAAAATAGCTCCCATTACACTTAAAATCACAAGCATGTGGTCTACAAGCCTTTTCAGGACACGGAACAAAACAACTGCTCTACCTTCATTTCCAGTGTCCCCACATTCATCCCCAACTGTTCTCCAGACCCTGGCTTCATGCTGTTCCCTGAACTTGCCAAACGCATGCCTGTCCCAGGGCTTTGCTCCTGCTGTTTGGTCTTCCTGGAATGTTAAAGGTCTCTGTAAGAATGCCATCACAGCAAATTAACCTTTCTTGCTACCCTTTCAAAAGAAGCACACTTTGTCATTCACTACCCATTTCCCCAGTGTAATTTTTTCTTTACAGCATTTAGCATTAATCGGCATTCAATTGTATATATGCTAATATGTATGATCAAAATGACTAAATCCTTGAGCACTGGAATTAGGGAATTAGGGGTTATTTCACTTATGTTTGAAGATACAGTTTTAAAATATTAAGAGTAATGTATTGTTTGGGACGTAAAAAAATACTCTATGAAACTCATTATTCACACCCCAATATCTGCAATAAACCTTCGGATTTGGTTTCTTACCCAATCAAGAATAGTTCAGCTTGATTTCTAATTCATGATGGCTGTTTGAGAATGACATTATGAGAAGATTAGCTGTTTGGTTTATATTCTGAACCCTACAAAGTTGATGTTTTCTGAGACTTAGCATAAGAGAGGCACAACACTGAACTGGTTTTACTTTTGGTATAGATTCTTAACTTCTTTTGCTTATCTATTTTTTTTCCATTTTGGGGGCAGTTTTGTTAAGTGTCCTGAATATTTTGCATTAAGTCAGTGCTAACCAGCTTCACCAGCCAAATACTATTGGTTAGCAATCATTAAGTCAGGGTCTCAACTGCTTCATTATTAGCTGCTGCTTGGAGTTGCAGAGAAAGGCAAAATATTTATATCAATGTAGATTGTAAAACCTATGCATGAAATAAAACGAATGCTTTAGTTTCAGTGGCATTAGCCGTAGCGTTTTCTTCCCTCAGTTGTAATTCTGCAATTTCAGCATCTTAATTTTAAACATTAATATGTGCAAACTTTGGTGAATGTTCACATTGATGCAATAGTTAACCTACAGTGTGAACATAAAATTGGATAGTTACTTTTTTGCCTCAGGATAAATTCCTGGAGATTAGGGGATTACTGAATCCAGGCTGTTTTATGAGGTGTTCTGGAAGTGATTTTCAAGAAATGCTCTGTGACTTTTAGAAGAAATATACATATTTTGGTAGAGAGTTATTAAAACATTGATTTGAATAGTTTCTTTAAAATCTACTTATTAGAAATATTTTCCCACAGAGTGCGTTTTTTTGTCTTTTTAATGATGTATGTAACAAAATTGTAATTACAATCACTTTTATATTTAAGAGGTTAATATTCTTTTTTCCTTCAAATATTAGTTAACAAATCCTTATCAAACATTGCTGCTAAGTGTACAGTATCTTAGCAGTCATTTAAGTGTTAAGAAAACACTAAGTTCTTGCACTCAAGAAGATAATCTATTTAGGAAGACGATGCACATGGAAAGCTATCTAAGGTTAGAAGATAGTGATATAAGAGAGGTTGTAAGAAAGAAAATTATTAAGGCCTAGTGTGGGTACAAATATTAAATGTGAATGGAGACATAGAAATCAGATATTGATTCTGTTGAAATAGTCAAGAAAATTGACGTGTTGAGGCTTGTGGGATGGGAAAGATTCGTTTAAGTAGAATACAAGGAAGAGGTTGTCCCTGGTTGGAAACGTGTCTAAAACAAGGGCTGATGCTCATGGCAGTGAGTAACCTACAGAGCTGGGATTGAGGGATTCTGTAAGGATTAGATTACAGCATTAACTTGATCCTGTCATTGAGGGAAAAAGGTTTTAAAGCAGCAGTGATATGTGAAGTTGGCATTTAATAAAGGCAGTAAAAGAATTACCCTCTTAAGAGATTTATCAAAGTAACCAGAAGATTCCAACATACCCTTTCTTTCCTAACGATAAATATTTAGAGATAGTACGCAGGTGAAGAATTTCAAGACGAGCTATACAAGCGGTGTGATGTGAGTGTTTTTATGTGGTATATTTTCCCTACGTTTTAATGTATCTTAAATGCAAAACAAAATATTGTCATAAGGAAGACAAAAAAGAAATGATATTTAATCTTTAATCATTTAGTTTTATTACAATCATGACACAAAGAATTAAAAAAATACATACACAGAAAGAAACAATCATTTATAAAGGTCTACCTTGTAATTCCATCTTTGCACAAAGAAATTTCTAGGTGCCACTAAACTGTGTGCATTAAATTTCAAACATAATCAAATCAGGTTTAGAAATACTAATGGTGTTTCATAGAAGAATCCTTGCTTCAGCAACTTAGGAAATTACACTTGATTTTCTTTTGAGTGTTATTCAATTGTGCTTGAAATTGTTCATTTGAACCCTTCTAAACAACAAGCAGGTGGTTAACTGTGGGCACTGTTTAACACTTACACAAAAAATTCCAAGCACAATGCACTTTTGCTCTGTGAATGTCGACTGGCTTTCCCTTCTCTCTCATAGCCTGTCCTTCCCTGGCCATTAGATTTGACCTTGCTACATCCCTGAAAAGAGAACTGGCTGAAATGTAGCTACTTGCTAGGGAGCATTAGACTATTTTTATAGTCCTGCAGCTAAAGCTTTTAATGTGGCAACTGCTGGTTACTGAAGCAGTTTAAGAAAAAGGAACTGCTGAGTTTGCCTTTTATTTTTAAATGGAGAAACACAAGGTGACAATCACATAAGATATAAGTGAAGCGGAACAGGGGAAATACAGCCTAGGATTTCTGTATAGAGCAAAAGCAAGAATTTGCAAAACACATTTCAATTCTATACTGCAATCTGGCTCTTTACTTTTATATAATATATGAACTAGTTCATAAAATGCACTTTTCTCTATGTCAGCTTTTCCTTTATCAGAAATACATGGGTGATACCATAAACATCTTACTGAGAATGTAGTCACTGTGAGGTATTTGTGAAATAACCAAAAATTTACAATTGGGTAGAAATATGACATTCGCAAAGACATAGACTTTGTAGTTCTTTCCTTTCCAAAGCACTTTTGTAGGTGTAGGGTACATTCTCTGTCCCCACCTTCTCTGCCCATTCACTCCACCCACTACAATAGAATTTTTGACTCTTCCTGTAAAATGGCCTCCTCTGTGCTGAGTATTTTGTAGCAGTCTAGTGCAAGGATATTTACCCTTTTCTTCCTTTGTCCCTCTCTGGCCTTTGCAACAGACTGTCCTCTCCCACAATTATTTTCCTTTGCTTGATTATCCTCCCCCTACTTCTTCTTTTTGTCTGCATTCTGCACTTCTTCTTCTCTTTTTTTTTTTAGACAGTCTCACTCTGTTATCCAAACTGGCAAACATTGTAGCATCGACTTTTCCAGGCTCAAGTGATCCTCCCACCTCAGCCTTCCCAGTAGCTGGGACCAGGCGTGTGCCAGTAAACCTGGCTAATTTTTCTATTATTTGTAGAGACAAGGTTTCACCTTGTTGCCCAGGCTGGTGTCAAACTCCTGGGCTCAAACGATCCGCCTGCCCGCCTCGGCCTCCCAAAGTCCTGGGATCACAGGTGTGAGCCACCGCGCCTGGACGGTATTTTCTTCTCTTTGTGTCCCTACAATGCTAATATTTCCCTGTGTCTAGCTTTGGCTGTCCTAAACACTCCTCCTTGGTGATCTCATCTACTCTTTTGTCTCTAATAAGGCTGGTGATGTTCAAACCTGCATATTTGTTCCAGATTTCTCTTCTAAGATCCAGGTCCTAATGTCCAGCCTCTTCTTTATGTATCCACTTGGTTATAACATAGTCACTTCTGATTCCAATGTCAAAATGTAATTTTTTGTGTCTGACTTTTTGCTTAGCATACTGTTTTTGACATTCAGTCATGTTGTTAGATGTATCAGCAGCTTGTTCTTTTATATTGCTGGGTACGGTTCTATTCTATTAACATACCACAATTTGTTTACGCATTCACTTGTTGAACATTTGGGTTGTTTCCGGGTTGGGGCTGTTACGAATAAATCTGCTGTGAACACTGATGTTTAAGGTGCTTATGAATATGTGTTTTCAATTCTCTTGAGTAAATACCTAACACTATAATTGCTGGAGTGTGAATACTTACAAGTAGAATTAGGTAAATACTTAGGGGTGCAAAGTGTTTGTACCATTTTATACTCACTATCAGTGTATGAGAGTAATAGTTGCTCCAGAGTTTTTCATTGTAGCTTTTGTGGTGAAGTGCAGTAATACCTCATTGTTATTTTAAATTGCACTTCTGTGATCACTAATAATATTTAGCTTCTTTTCCTATAAATACTGACTTTGTATATTTGGAGTACATCAAAATATTTTGCCCCCTTTTTTTTTTACTGGTTGTTTGTTTTCTTATTATTGAGTTGTAAGTATACTTTATGGATTCTGGATACAAATATTTGACAAATATCAAGTCTTTTTTTTCATGACAAACTTGTTTCCCTGCCTGTGATCCGTCTTGTTCAACCCAACAACCCAGTCCTATTGTCCCTTCTTCCTTAATATAGCTATCCTTCCTCTTCATCTGTATGCCACCATACCACTGTCTCACTTCAGGCCCCTACCAGTTGTTACTTTGGTGTCTGCCATGGTCTTT